GCCGGGTTACATATTTGCTATATTTTACTTCTTTGAAAACAGAAAATTAAAAGGTCTGGTTTAAAAAAAAAAAAAAAAAGCGAGCCTCCTCCCTATGCGATCGGCGCCCCAGCCGCCGCGGGACCCTGGCGTCTCCGGGGCTCAGCCCAGCCAATACCCCACCCCGCGGGTCTCCAGCGCCGCGCTCCGGCTCGAGGGCGGGGACCGGCAGCTCCAAGCCAGAGGGACGGGCTCTAGGGCCACCCCTCCCGCCTCGCGTGGCGACTCCGCCGCTGGGCACCGGGGAGCGGGACCCAGGACTCCAGCCGCCGGCCGCGGGTGCTCAGCAACTCCCGGAGCCGCAGGGCCGGGCTGAGCTCCGCGCCTGCGAGGCCGAGGGGTGGCCCCTGGCGCCCCCAATGCTCCTCCCGGGCGGGGGCTGCAGCGGGCCCAGCGAGCGACCCCGGGGTAAGGAGGCAGGTGTCGGCCGCAGGCTCCTTCCACACCTGGAACAAGAGTTCCCAAAGCTCGCTGGCCCCGCGCTCTCGAGGCGTGGACGCAGCATCCTTGCAGCTGAAAAGAATCATCAAGTATTTATAAGATTTCCTGCAAGACGCTTCACAATAGAATATACTTATCTGGTCGGAAATTTGCCAGAAGCCATAAATAATTGAGACAGCTGTGACTAACCTCCCAGAAAGCATACCAGAATTCGCAATTAAACATTTAATTGAACGGTCTCATTGCCCCCTCGTCCAGGAGAGGAGGAGGAGTGAGAAGCAAACCCAGGCCCCACCCAGCCGGGAGCCTGCGCGGCTCCAGCCCGGGAGCGCCCCGGTGCCTCCCGGCGCACGCGGTTCCTGGGAGTCTCGAGTTCGCTGCTTTCGGGCGCCCTGGCCCGGCCCGGACAATTTAAGCTCCAGCTCCCTGGGCTTTTCCGGCTTCTAAACTCTCCGGGGCTCGAAGGAGCGCAACGCCCAGGTGAGCGCGGCCGCGTCTCGTTGCAGCTTGCGAGGACGCAGTGCCGCCACAGGTTGCTTTCTCCTGGGGCGAGGGCCGCCCCCCGGTTCTTCCGAGGCTGAGGGGCCGCAGCTGAGACCGCTGGGCGGAGGCGAAAGGCCTCTGCTGGGCCCAGCCTCTGAAGTTGACGGTGCGACTGGGCGTGTTCGGCGTGAAAGCGACAACTTCGCCCGGGCTTTACAGCCCAGAATTTGAGTCAGGTAGGAGAGGCTGCCGAGGCCCGGGGGCAGCGACGTTCGAACGCTCAGCGGCGTTGCCCAAGCCAATTCCCCGCAGCGGCAGCGGCTCCCTTCCCCCGGAGCTCTGCGGAACACGCAGCCCCAGACGCGCAACTGGACTTCAGAGCCGCAGCTTAGGGCCCGGCCACTCTCCCGCCCTCCAGACTGCAGCAGTCGCGCAGCTAGCACCTCGAACCCTGAACCTGGCCCCGGGAAGCCTCGGTCCAACCGCGGCCTTCCTGGGTTATTTCTTCCAGGGCTCTTTGCCACGCTCTGGGAAGCCTTGAGTCTCGATAATCTGGGAAGAAATTACTCCTCACAATCCCTTATTCTTCCACTTCCTCGTCCCTGCTCCCTCCCCCCACGCCCGAACCCGGGGGTCTCCAGTTGGCTACTCTCAAACTGCTCTTTCCCAACGGGGAACCGGCCTTCCTGAGCTCCTGCCGGCCCCTGGGCTCACGCCTTGACCCACTGCCCCGCTGGCTCTGACCTTCTGGACCAGGAGGCACTGAGGCAGATGGCTGGATTCACCTCGCACTCCCGCCTCTCTGGCAGGATTGTTGCTGGGGCCCCGAATGTGCTTTATACATTGAGCCGCTCCCCACCCAACTCCACATCTGGATCCCAATGGAGTATTTCCTGGTTGTGCCCTTTCTTGCTCTCATTACTACTCTCAACCTAGCTCTATTCATCTGCATCTTTCATGCACAGTCTCCATCAACAAGGTGCCAGTCTGTACTTGGCCACTCAATCCTCATAACTGCACTGAATCCCAGTATTTTCAAGAAAGTTTACTTTTACATCCATCAGACCCCGATTTAAAAGCCTCTAATCTTTCCCGCATCAGCTTAATAAACTCTGAATTTCCTGCTTTTATCACCACTCCACTGGGAGCTTCTCTGCAGATATTCATCCATTGTTTCTCTCTCTAGCATGCTGCTATTTGGCTAATTTTCTTGCTCTCTTTGGTGAACACCCATGAGAAAGCACAGTTAACTAAATGTGTGGCCATCTATGTCCTCCCCTAGGCAGAAGAGGTAGAACCTCAAATTTTCTAGAGAACGATCTTAGACAATATCCATTTAAACGCTGTATTTGCAGCTGACAAAACTGAGCTTTGTTATTCCACATTCAAAACATAAAGCCTGATTTCTGTTCCACAATCCATTAAATATTAAAGTTTGTTGGGAATACTGCCACAGGGACTGAATTTCCCAGAATTATGCAGTCTTTCAATATGTATTAAATTTTGTGTAAAAACTTACAGCCATAAACTTTCCATGTCTGGGAATCCCTTTCCTGCCTCAATTACATAGAGCTATCCAAATTAATAGTTAAGTCTTCTGAGAAAATAATATTCTAAAGTGAATCTAGCTAAATAACTCCCACTTTCCACCTATGGCCTCTTTTATTGAATTGAGTTTTTACTACACAACTGGGTATCTCATGTTAAAAGTTCAGTAAGCATAAAATACAACATTTGTAATTGTTACAGGTAATTTACAGGGAAATCCCTACTGTATTACAGAAGATGTTTAAAGATGACCTGGAAACCAGTAAAACTGATATTTATTAACGTAACTAACCAAGCGTAGATGTGACACCTCACTAGGGACCATTGTAATAAGGCTTCAGAGTTGAACCCTTTTCCTGGAAACCCAGAGAGAAAACGATGCACCCCTTTAGGTGGGTAGCAACTATGGGAGAGAAAAGCTTGTAATGTTTTATACAGTGATAGAGAGATGCAGGAATCTTAACACACAATAACCACTTTAAGTAACTTCCCAGTATTCAAAAAAGACACAATCATATAAATATCAAAAAGAGAAATTCGATTTTTGATTCATGGATGATGAGGAAAGAGATAACTAATGTTAGACAGTTCCATTCATAGCGTTAAAACACTGCGATCTATCAAAAGCAAAAATTCAGAGCTAACCATTAATGAAATTCTTTATTCAATAACCTGTTATTTCCTTTTTAATAAAAAATAAAACCCAAATATTCTGGATAAATCAGAAGTTTTTGAAAGTGAGATTTAGTGGAAGTTTTAGCCCCCTGTCTAATGGCCAGCCAGAAGGTAAAAGAAATCTGTATTTCTGTTTGGGAAGGAATGGTCTAAGTTAAAGGAAGGAAGCCTCAAAGAACCCAGACCTGATTATTAAAGCCATTTCTGGGCACTTGAGAGGTAAAGCTGGTCCTCATTAACTCTGCGTATCTCTTGCCTTATCTCTAAGTTTGCAGCACCATTTCCTATATCCCAAAGAAGGGGAATGTTCCCTTTAATATTTGTGCTAGCATCACCTTGACATTCAGGAAGTAAAATATAAATGCAGCTCCGTTTTCCCACCTCCTCCCATTTTCTTTCGGTAATTGCCAGCAAGCCTTCTATCATCTGGAAGTGGGGTGGCGGGAGTGTGAAGGAATTCTGCCAAAAGCGCTGCAGAAAAACCCACAGTGGCCTCTGGCCATCCAAGTAGCCATGGTTAACAGAAGGCACCTACTTCTCTAAAGACTGCCTGGCCCCCCGGACACGTTTTCCTTGCCAGCCTCTACCTAAGCTAAGATGGCAACCATCCCCTACCCAGTGAGGGCGTTGCCCACTTTAAAAACAACCTTGGACAAAGGATACGCTCGTGGGTCCCTTAACTCGGGGACCAGGAAACGGCAACTCAACGCCAGAGGTTCTTACAACAGCGGTGAAGGCTGGTCTTGGAAAAGAACTGTCCCAGGCTGCCAAAGGGTTAAATATCGGTGAAGAGTAAAACCTGAGCCTCCATGGGTTTTTTTTCTTCTTCTTCTTGTTTCTTTCTTTTTGGTTTTTTTGCTTTTGTGTGTGCGCGCTTGCCCGGGGGCCTACTGGAGATTCAGTATCTCTCGGTTATTTCCTGCGATCACTAAAGCCGGTTTTCAAGAAAACAAGTAGCAGGGGTTTGAAATGTCACACCAAGTGACCTGGGCACAGCATATCCAGGGGCCATTCCCAGCCCCCCTCCCACCCGGGCCACCCCCGACCCCCTCCACTTCGGTCTGGAAAGAAAATAAACCAAGGACACGCCAGACTGGTTCTGGGTGGACTTATTTTCCCGGCAGCCGCCCTCCTAGCGGGGGCTCGTTGCGGCCCCTCGGTGTATCGCTTGCAGGTGATGCCAAACGCAGATAAGCAGCCGCCGCCCGGCCCCGCCTCTGTCTAGACGGGGGAATTAATAAATGCCGCGGATTGATCACGTCGCGCATCCACTCCGGGAACAGCGCGCAGCAAGGCCCGTCACGGCCGCCCGGTCTGGCAGAGGTCGGCCTTGCTGCTGGGCCGCAGGGCCAGAGGCAGCGCGCGGGGCTTCGAGCCTCACCCAGAGCCGCGGACCGCCGGGGAAGGAAGCGCCGGGAGGGCCTGCAGCGCCGAACGAGAGTGGGGCTAGGAGCTCGGCAGGCGCCCTGCCAAGGCCGGTTCCGGGAGCGGGGCACGCCCTCGCCGGCATGACCCTAGGCCGGAGTCCGCCACTCAGCTGCCACGAGCGCTGCAGGTTTCCCGCCTAAATGAGTCCCGCCTCCTGCCCGCGGGTCTCCGCCGCCAGTTGCTCAGGGGTCGCCAGTGGGGCACGCCTGCTTCTGCGAGGGCCTCAGCGCGCATGCGCCCAGCCCACCCCTCGGCCGCGCCCAATCCCCACCCGGCCCGCCCCGCCCGCAGCACGCGGAGCTCCGGCAGCCGACGCCAGCCAGACCTGTGGACTTGCCTCCTCCGGCACTCCTGCCGCGCCAACAGCACACGGGAGCGGCGTCGCACCGGGTTATTATTTTTTATTAAGATCAAAATACGAGTCCCATTATGAACTGGCTGTTCTAACAATAAATAACAATAACTTACGTTTGTTTGTTCGGCAAAGACTCACACACTCTGTCCTCCGTGGAATAACTTAAACACTTTCAAGGCAAGTCTGGTTTCTACTGTTTCCCAGCAATCATGCGCTTTAGGAGTTTGAGTGTCTGTTCCTCTGAGTTATCCCCTTCCTCTTCCCCGCTAGAGCCCAGGCGAAGACGCCAGGGAGCGCGGAGTGGGGGCAGGGCGGGGGTCCACGTGGGCGAGCTCGGGGCCGGCCGAGGTGGGGATACAGGTGGGGCGTGGAGGGACAGAGCGGCGGCCACGCGGAGAGGAGAGGGCAGAGCTAACTCTGGTAAATCCCAAATTCTGGTTTTTAAAAAGTAAAGAGTCCTCGGAGCAGGAGTCTGCCGTCTGGTGAAAGCAGGTTGCATCCTGGCGCCTTGGGCTGTCCAGACCGTTTCTCTCGGTCCTCTCTCATAAATAACAATAGAATAATCACGAAGGCAAGAGAACTTTCGGAACTGGAATGGCCTGAGCATGGGTGTCTCATGCAGGGAGCATGCGAGGTCCGCGGGCTGGCAGGGAGGGGTCCCCCTCACGTCTCCACGGGACTCGGCACCATACTGTTGGGGGTGTCCGGGAGCTGCGAGGACAGGGAGGTCACGTCGCTGCCGGAGGAGTTGCCTAGGGAGCCGGACTCGGAGAAGGAGACCTGGGGCAGCGGAAACACCGGGAAGAGGCAGGTGAAGAGGCACCCGAGCTGGTGCTCCAGGGCCGCGTGCTCCGAGTTGGGGAATGTCCCTTGGGGACCGGTCGCCGGCTGAGAGCAAGCCCGGCGGAGGAGGAGGCCAGGTCCCCAGGCGCACGCAGGGCGGGATTAGGGCGGGGGGAGCGGGTTGGTTAATTCTGCGACCTCTCTTGTGCGCACTTTAATCCAGGGAGACCTGGTTTAGGCTGCGTAATGGGCTGAGGTGAGGTTTCAGAGCCCGCCACTGTTCCCCCTCCCCCACCGCCTAGGGCTGTCCCCAGCCCCTCAGCCCAAGGCTACCCCCTCCCCTCTCTGCCAGGCTAAGTGGCTAAATCCCCAACCCGCAGAGTACCGAGGTCGGGGCGGGTAGGGCAGGGCCTCACCAGCTGCTGGAAGGCGGGTTGGTCCAGGTCGCTCTGGAGGGCAAATTCGCTGAGCGCCTTCCACGGCGGCTGGTATGTCTGCACCTCCACTGCGCTGCCCTGCACAGCGTTCTCATGGCGGATGGGGCTGCCCGCCACCAGGGGCGTCCCGGTCAGTCCCTGAAGGCTCTGTGGGGCAAGCAGAAGGCCTTGGGTGCTCGAGTTAGGTCTGGCCTTTTGTGCCACCTTTGAGACTGGAGCTCCAGGCCCTGAGTGATTTAGGGTCTGCATTACTTTGCGGGGAGGTGCACACTCGACCGCATCGGAAGAGCCCTCTTTCTCCACTGGGGATCTTCGGGGGCTGCAAACTTGCCACGATAGGTCAGCCTCGGTGCTGGGAGCCAACCACCCGGTGAGGAAAGGCAAGGCCTGCACTCCCACCCTTCTGCAGCTGCGGACAGAGGGACACAACCCACCAGCCCGACTGGCGGGCGCTGCACACAGCCATGCCGCCCCGGGCTTCGCGCAGCGCCCGGGACCCGCAACGCGGGGCTGCACCTGGAGCAAGGAGAAACCCCGATCCCAGACAAAATAGGAAGCCCCAAATCCAAGGGAAGCCTAGCTCTGAAGATACAGACATACACCATCTGGAGCGCCCAGTTCTCCCTGGATCTCCCAGGGCTCGCCCAGAAAAGGGCACACAGATACCGCGGCGGAAGCGCAGGCCCCACCCAACTCGAGCCTTCGGCCCCGCGGCCGCTCACCGTCTTGTCGCTGTGCTGCTGCTGCTGCAGCTGCTTCATGAGAATGGATTTCTTCTTGTCCTTGCAGCGCTTGTTCTGGAACCAGACGCGGATGACCCGCGGGCTCAGGCCGGTCATCTCCACCAGCTGCTCCTTCATGAGAGCGTCGGGCCGCGGGTTGGCGGCGTAGCAGGTCCGCAGAGTGTGCAGCTGCTTCTCGTTCAGCACAGTTCGCACGCGGGTCGTCTTCTCCGTCTGCTTGTGCACGTGCGGGCGCAACGCGGGCTGCCGGCCCGACCCAGCATCTGCCAGGACAGGGTGGGGCCAGAGGTTAGCGAGGGGCCGCCACCCACCCGCCCGGAGCCCAACCTCTGGGCGGCCGAGCCCCCCGGGGCCCGATTTCGTTTCTGTTTTATTTTGTTTATTTCGTTTAATTGTTCGTCTTCCTCTCCATCTGTTCGCCTTACGCGGAGAGAGCTGTGCATTTTCGTTCTTTCTCTCGCTCCCGGGCCGGACTGCCCCGCAGCGATCTCTCCCGAGCTCAAGCAGGGCGAGGGAGCTCGGCGACAGGCCGCTGCGGGGAGTGAGTGGCCGCTCAGGGATGTGCCTCTTCCAGTAACAGGACCCTCGGAAGGAGCGAAGCCCTCCGGAAGAAGTCGGAGTTTCAGAGGAAGAGGAAAGAGGCTCGCCCAGGACTCTGGAGAGGGAAAGGGAACGACGTGGACCGGGAGTGAGGTGCTGCTCAGGGGACTGGGTGGGAGGTGCGCATATCCCGGGGGCCTACGAGGGCCCTTCCCTCCTTCAGAGCCCATTTGGACAGGGCATATGTGTAGAAGGGTACATGTGTAGAAGACTCATCCAGGGTTATGGACGGGCCTCCAGGGCCTGCAACAGTTCCTTCCTGCCCGCTCTTGGGCTTCCGCCCCGGTCTCCTTCCTCAAGGCTCCAGGTTCCCCAGCCCAGTGGCCTCCCACCCACCACGCTGGTGAGCAGCCGCTGGCACCCTCCTCGCTTGGCCCCAGGTTCTCTCCATCCCGGGGAAACAGTGACTGATTCCAGAGCCTGCAGCCTGAAGCCCGAAACAAACAAAGGGGAGCCTCTCCGAGATCCCAGATGGGGGTGCACTGAATACCCGCTTCCTCCCATTTCACATCTCCATTCTACATTCCCGACCTACACACCTTGGATCTATACTGCACCATTTAGGTTTATGTTCCTCTCTACGCATTTCTAGGTCTGGACAAATATTTATAAATAGCCCATCCAGCCCAATTTCCTCTTTCTATAGGGAGGAAGTGGAGATCCAGAGAGGGGAGGAGCGGGGCAAGGCCACACAGCACCGAGAGGCCCAGCCTGGTCTGCGGATCTGTGCTGCAGGCCTATGGCTACCTGGGGGAAACTGCCCTGCTTGGGGCGGAGGCACCGCTGTTTCTGTTCAGCCCTACCTGCCCATTATACACTCAGACCCCATCTCTGGGCAGCCACTGATTAGGACCCAGAATATTCCAGTGAGAGTCCAATATGCATTGATAACACTCCCCCTTCCCCAGAAGAACCTGGCTAAATTGTTCATCAAACTGGGCCTCAAAACAAGACGGCAAAAACCCCTCTTTGTTGGGTTCTTGGCTCCTGGCTGACCAAGCCCCTGCCCAGCTCCCAGTGGGGAGCTGCGTTACTTCCACAAATACCCCTGAGCAAACCTTCCCCTCTGACAATAACACATATTCCTCCAAGAAATTCCTAATACAAGCCCCAAGACGGACACCACTTAATATTCCTTGTTGTCATCCACTATTCTGCTCCTAGCACTGTGCCCTGCATGTTCCTGGTCATGGAGAACACGATTCTGCACAATTCCCCGTGCTCACTCATATGCACGCGCAGTTTCTCCCGGGCACACGAGAACACACACAACCTTGTTCCCAGCACACAGTTCCGCACTAATACAGAAAAACACTATCCCGGCAGACCCAACCACACACAACTGACAACTTCTCGTTAGGGACACAAGCACGCAAGCACACCCCGCTCACCCCGGCGCAGGCCCCGCGCTTACCTGGCAGATGCAGGCCGCGGGAGCCGGGGAGCGGGCCGGGGCTGCGTGGGCTGCCTGCAGCGGCGCGCTCGAGCAGGAGGCCGTGGTCTGCGCGGCAGAGCAGCTCGTGCTCCCGCAGCGAGAACTCGTCCCCAGGCAGCAGCTGGCGGCTGCACACGGAGCAGCGGAAGCACTCGATGTGGTACACGCTGTCCCGCGCCCTCATCACCAGGTCGCTGCTGCTGAAGCCCACCTGGCACTTGGCGCACTTGATGCCGAATAGCCTGCGGGCCCAAGGCGCAGCGGTATCAGCGCTTGGCCTGCGGCCGCCCTCATCTCCCCGGCTGCTACCGGCCCCGGCGCGCGCCCAGGACAGTTTGTGGCCCACCAGGGGACTGCGGTGACCCGCCTGCGGGCATTCCCGGGCCCGGGGGCGCGCTGCGGCACCTATGCGGGATGAGGATGGCCTTCTCACCGGGCAGGGCCGGGGCGCGCGGGCAGGCCGCCATCCCCAGCCCCGGCGCGCGGTGGCCCAGCCCGCGTTCCCGCCGGCCTCACCTCACATAGTCCCGCTTGCAGTAGGTCTTCCCGTCTCTCACGAAGCACGTGCACGTCTCGTCCAGGTACTGGCTGCACTCGGCGCACTTGAGGCAGGCGGCGTGCCACTCGAGGTCGGGCGACACCCGCAGGATAAACTGGTCGTGGATCTGACTCCCGCAGCCCACGCACATGGCCGTCCCGGGCTTCTCTGCCGTGGAAGGGCGCGGGGCCGCGTCAGGCCTGACTGCCCGGACCCCGGCCGGCCTCGGCCACTCCAGCCCTAACCCAACCCGCTCGCTCTCTCGCTTTCTTTCAAGACTTGTGACCATAAGGAAAGGTGATGAGCTCTCTAAAGATCCAGAGCATTGGAAACGAAAAACCAGTATCTTCTGGATTGCTTAAGGTTTCTTCTGTCCCCCACCCCCAAATATTTCGCTAGTACATTCATTAATCACAGTCGTTTTGTCGACGTGTCTTGAAACTAAACGCTAACACGAAACTAAGAAGAGAGTAAATACACAGGCACTGCGGTAGCCTGGACATCAACACCTAACGGTGCTGTCCCGGCATTTCCGCTCACACACTCCCACTCACAGCGGCTGCCTCCTATCCTAACACAGACACATCGTCTTTCGGCAGTCCCAGCTCATCCTCTCAGACATTTCTTAGTTTAAATATCCCAGAGCAAGCGAGAGAAAGCTTCCTAGCTTTGAAACACCGAAAAGCAAACAAACAACAACCAAAAAAAAAAAAAAAGCCCACATCCCTAAATCAAACCTAATTGCCTTTGCGCAAAACAGAAGCAGATTTCGCAGCCCGAAGTCATCCCAGCCGGCTTGAGAAACAGTGTTTACTTATCAAATAAAACAACAGGATTCCCAAAGATAAGCAGTCCTGCAGGACATATGCATTCGTTTTTCCTCTCTTAAACTATCCTGACAAACAGAAGCCACTTGTAGAATCCACTAAACATTTTTTTGCAATATAAATTTTGCATATTAAGCACACACACACACCCCACCCCACACACACACAGAAAGACTTACTCTTGGAATGATCACCCATAGCACCCAGAAAAGGATAATGAAAAATAATATCCACCATGCAGAAAAAGAGATGTGCGCAAAGTGTGCGGCCAGGGGCAGAAGGACGAGGGTCGCGCGTTCGGCCTCGGCTCTTTGCTAACTAACTCCTACTGCCCCGCGGAGTTGAGGGAGCGATTCCGCACCGGCCCGCACGCAGCATGACGTCAACACGCACTCGCCCCGGGCCGGAGCTGGGGGCGGGACCTGTGGCGTCACGAAGCTTCCCCAGAACTGCCGGGGATGCGGGGGAGGTGATGGGGACCGGGGGCTGATGGGCGGGGTGGGTTGGGTGGGAGGCTGGGGGTGAAGGGAGATTGGCTGGGAGGAAGTGGGCCAACCCTGATTGGCCCGGAATGAACAATGGAGTGCAGCCCCCCCCACCTCCGAAACCTACAAGGATCCTCTCTCCCGCCCCGGGTCTGGCAATCTGCACTGGACCTTGCGTCACCGCCTAGCTGTCTCCGCGGCCGTTACAACTCTGAGCTTCCTCTTGGACTTTCGGGGCGGTTTTCCCAGGCGCGCTGGAGCTGAGTGATGGATACCTGAGGGTGGAGGTGGCTCTCCTTTAAGAGCTCCTTCTTATATAAATTAAAAAAAAAAAAAAAAATTAAACCCACTCTCAAGACAAGAGAGCCGAAGACAAGAGGGTCTAATTGGACGTGACCGTCATCGTCCAGCTGGTCACCTTTCTCCTCTCATGTGCCTTTGTTCTTTGGGTCCAAGCTAGAGAGAGAGGGTAGAGAATGACCACCTGGCTTCTGATAAACTCTTATTTAAACTTTCCTGTCCGCACAACCTGTAGAAAACTTCCGATTGGGGCATTAAGTGGGTTGAGCCAGAACCCAGATCCAAATGCGCTCACCCGGGACTGGGACGGGTACTGACTCCATCCTTGCAGCTGCTGCCGCTGCTGCTGCCCCTCCTCTCTCTCCTCCACCACCACCTCCTCCTCCACCACCTCCTTTTTTTGTTGTTGTTTTGTTTTGCTTTTAATTTGTTGTTGTTTTAAATGTAACATGGACTCCCCCGCCCCCTCATTTTTCACCCACCCAAATGGCATAGCTCCTTCTAGGAACACTGCTGGGGTCGATTGCGTGTCCCATTTCCAAAATAAAAGATTTTTCTAAACTCTTGTGCTTCATTTCACAAACCCACTGCAATGCAAATAATCAGAAACGAACGTGAGACGCTGGGTAATTTACAGTGCTATCTGCGAGGCGGCGGCTCGTTGGTCCTGAGAAAAGCTGAGAGTTCTGAGCAGAGTCCGGGCATTCTTTCTTTAAAAGAAATCGCTGTGGGTTTTGTTTGAAAGGGTTCAAAGACCGGCCCATTAATTACAAATAACATTTATCCAACCATGGTGTCTGTTCTTGTTTTCCCAGTAAAAGGAGTACCAAGAACTTGGTGTGCGCCTGGGTGGGGCGCGAGGTGAAACGCCTGCGGATAAAGTGTCTCCACCGCCATTCCAGACCCTGGCCCAGACCTTCGGGCTTGTGGGCCTGAGGGCGCAGTCGCTACAGCCGTTCTACTAAGAGCATGACGTTGGTTGGCCTCGAAACGGGTGTAGCCAAAATCGCAGGCCCAGGCTTTGCACAGGGCCAAGGCGAGGCCCCGAGTGCACGCTAACATTATTTGACCATGGTCCACGGTGAACGTTCCTCACCGGCCCCGCGCTGGGCCGAGCGCTTTAAGTCCCGTACAGTAGTGTCAGGCTTTTGACCTCCGCCTCTACCTTTAGAAGATCTAGTCTTCTCACCGGTCCGGCTCTTTTTTTTTTTTTTTTCTTGTTGCGACAGAGTCTCGCTCTGTCGCCCAGACTGGAGTGTAACGGTGCGATTTCAGCTCACTGCAACCTCCGCCTCCCGGGTTCAAGCGATTCTCCTTCCTCAGCCTCCTGAATAGCTGAGATTACAGGCGAGCGCCACCGCGCCCAGCTAATTTTTGTATTTTTAGGAGAAACCGGGTTTCACCATGTTGGTCAGACTGGTCTCGAACTCCTGACCTCGTGATCCGCCCGCCTCGGCTTCCTAAAGTGCTGGGATTTACTGGCGTGAGCCACCGCGCACGGCCACCGGTCCGGCTCTTGTTACAGCTTACCACCCCTCGGCCAATAGGCCATTTCTTGCTTCTTCAGTCAACAGTCCCCCAAAGAGCACTCACCCTGAGTGTGTGCGGGCAGGTCAGGGGTTGGGGGATGCTGCGTTTGAAGGAATGTGTTTATGTAAATGGGGGACAAGAGTGAGGGGGTGGGTATCTGTGCCTGAGGCTGTGCCAGGCCACCTGTGTGACCTCCGGCATCTTATTTTAATTCTCCTTCCCTCAGTTTCCTCATCTGTAAAATGGAGGTATAATAATTGTAGCTATCTCTATTTTGTAATAATTAAATAAACTGTTCTCTGGAAAGGGCTTAGAGCAACACCTAGCACAGAGTAAGTACTCTATATGTGTTAATTACGACAATTATGATTGTGGCTGTATCCTTATGTCGGGAACCTCTGCCCATCCTGCCTGCATGTGTCTGGGTGGGGAGGGGAGTTCTAAGTATGTCTCAGGGTGTGTCATCTGATGATTTCTTTGTGTATTTCGATGTGTGCTTGCTCTGTGTGTGTCTGCTGTGTAGATGGGGTTTGGAGATGTGTAGTCTGTGCATAGACTTTGTGTACAGGTTATATCTGTGAATGTGGGTGCGCAGTCAGAACTGGGAGGGGACTCTTGGTGTTTGTGTGTCTGCATGTAGAGCGAGGAGGTGCATCTGGCCCAGTGGCCCTACCCTCAGGTGACCCTGGAGTAGGCCTGGCTCCCAGTACCTACTAGGTCTTGCTCGCCAGGCCAGGAGCAAACAAATCTATAATTCAGGGGTTCAGACAGCTGGCGGGGAGGGGGCAGCTCCAGGCAGGAATCGTAGGTCCAGCTTTTAACCCTCTACTGCCCAGAGAAACTCTTCCTTCCCGTTCAGAAAACCCTGTCCTTTGAGACTCCACTAGGGAGGTGGCGTTTGGAGAGGGTTGCCTCTTTTGGGATGCTGGGAAGCCAGGTCAAAACAAATATTTGTTCAGGGCCACCATGTGCAAAGCCCTTGTTGTTAGCCTGTTAGGTCTTAAAAGTAATGTCATGTTGTGGGTAGTACTGGGCCCCTCCAATCCTCGAGGAAACTGAGGCTCAGAGAGGGGAAGTTACTGCCTCAGGTCACAGATTAAATCAGATCTGGCATTGAACCCAGGCTGTCTGGCTCCATCTCTCTTGCTTTTTTCACTGTGCCATTGAAGAGCCACATGAATGTAGCTCCACCATTCACCCATTTCACATCTCTGGAGCTGTAAAACCAGAGATCCATTTCAAAATCACTCCATGTGTGACTTCTGGTCACAGCCACCCCTGGGAGACCAGCACTGAGATGAGAGAAGAAAATACCTGCACCTGCTGGGCACGGCCATGGGCAACATGGATGTGGCTCTGCCCTGGTTCTCTGCCTCCTGGCTGCTCCCTTCTCAGGTATGGAGGGGCCACATGCTCTCCACATCCCAGGCTGGCACGCAGGAGACCTGGGTGCCTTGTATCTTCGGTCTTAGAGCACTTTCTCCTTATCAGGAATAGCAGCTTGAGCTCCGTAGCTATGCTTTATCCCATAAAACTAGCCTGTACTGGGGAGAGTTCAGAAGCACAGAGAAGTCTCCCTGATTTTTTCTCCCCAAAACCTCTACCACATCATTTACAAAGGCACAGCCCCATGCACAATGTCCAGCCAACACAGAGGAGGCTGTTGCTAGTGTGGGAGCATCAGTCCTCACTGTCAGTCCTCACTCAGAAAGGAAAATGAGGCCTGGTGACCTGTTACCCAGCATGTGATGGAGATGGAGCCAGAAGCCAGGTCCCCTGACCCAGGCCAGACCTCTTCCTGCTAGAGTCCCTGTGGATGAACTTCTGCTGTCCAGGGCTGAGACCTTGCTGCCCAGCTTAAGTCACTAGACCAGGCTTCTCCTCTTGCTCCAGTCTCCATCCCCCTCCATTCTTCTTCTGCCCCACTCCCAAAGGCTTTTACTTTTCTCCAAAGGTAGTTGGAGACGTTGAATACAGCAGGCAAGAGACAACCTCAGCATCCACATCTTCACCCACCACAGGTGTCTGAGAACTTGCTTTTGGGATGGGGACGGAGCACCATATTTCAAAGAAGTAACTAAGGCCTGGGGGCAGGGAGGAAACTTGGCAAGTCAAGGTCAGGCTTCAGGCTTCCTGACATCCAAGACCTATGCTTTCTCCCCAGCCTTGCCTGCCTCCCCAGCCCTAGATTCCCTTTGAGCAAACAGGTACCCAAAGGCACTGCGGGGCCCCCCTCCCTCCTTCCTGAGCCCCCTTCTCTCTTCCCGAAGTTACTGAGCACATGCTGTAGCTGGGACTCTGGGCTAAGCAGCAGTATGAGGTCTCATTAAAGTGCCCACCAATCTCCTGAGCAGGAATGGCCACGTAATTTGCAGATCCCATTGCAAAATAAAAATTCACAACCCTTTGTTAAAAAAATTATTAAGAATTTCAATGGCTGGGGTGGTGGCTCACGCCTGTAATCCCAGCACTTTGGGAGGCCGAGGCAGGTGGATCACTTGAGGTGAGGAGTTTGAGACCAGCTTGGCCAACATGGCGAAACCCTGTCTCCACTAAAAATACAAAATTTAGCCAGGTATGGTGGCACATGCCTGTAGTGCCAGCTACTCGGGAAGCTAAGGCATGAATCACTTGAACCCGGGAGGCAGAAGTTGCAGTGACCCAAGATAGCGCCACTGAACTCCAGCCTCGGACAGAGACAGACTCTGTCTCAAAAAAATAAAAATAAAAATTCAAGACAGCAATGGCAGAGCATCAAACCAAGTGTGTCCTGCCCCTCCATATACAGGGTTTCTGTGAAGTTGGCCCTGCCTCTGAGGCAGGTCCTAATATCATCTTTCAGCTGCTGAGAAATAAATAAACCAATAACCTTCACAAGTTAACACAACTAGGAAAGAGATGGGACTGTGACTGAGACTGAATCCCACACCCCACAGCCGTCCATGAGACTCAATCCCACACCCCACGAAGCTAAGGCATGAATCACTTGAACCCGGGAGGCAGAAGCTGCAGTGACTCCAAGATAGCGCCCACTGAACTCAGCTCGACAGAGACAGACTCTGTCTCAAAAAAATAAAAATAAAAATTCAAGACAGCAATGGCAG